TGTTACCAGCGCACCCCCCCTGCTATGTGCACACTGTGTGTTACCAGCGCACCCCCCCTGCTATGTGCACACTGTGTGTTACCAGCGCACCCCCCCTGCTATGTGCACACTGTGTGTTACCAGCGCACCCCCCCTGCTATGTGCACACTGTGTATTACCAGTACACTTCACTATAGAAGGTTTTATCATGTAAATTCTGTATTTTCTTTGGTCACTGTTGATGCTAGAAGTCTTGTATTTTAAAATAAGCCGGTACTGAGTTATAAAGAATCACATAACAATTTAAAATGCATTTTTAGTATTTTAAAGTAGCCTGAAAATAGCTAAAATTCTAATATAAGAGGACTAGACAGAATAATAATTAAACAGGTGACAATTATTTAAAGCATTACTCCACCTTGGTAAGTTCATTGTTGGTATATGGATTTCTGTTTTTATTATATTGTATAGCTTTTACTAGACAGACTAACAGGGTTATTTACTAAAGTGAGACTTAAAACTCAATTTCAAATTTAAGGTTAAATAGCTGAACTGGAAACATTCTCTAAGTCAGCTATGCTTCCCTGACCTTAAATTTAAAATGTAAGTTGAATACTCACTTTAGTGGATATAAGATTGGTAGAGATTTCTAGGAAGCAAGTTCAACTATTTTTATTGAGCGCAGTAATTAAAATTGTTTCTCTTTTGCAGAAGCATTTTCTTTTAAAGAAAATTCCAGGTTAATTTCAAAGTTATTAGAAATTACAGGTAAGAAACTATGTTAAAAGTGCATTTTACATCTTTTAGTAACAGTTTCATGTATCTGAACTTTAGTTCATCAAATATGATCTTCTTAAACAAGGATGTGGAATTCCTATCACCTGACACCTGGGACAAGTAGTTCCAAGTGCTGGGTGTCAGTTTGGTTTCTTTACTCTTCTGCGTGCAAGTAGCATTGCAGCTATAAAGTGTGTATGGTCATGGATCCTACAAAGACATCAATGTTTTACCTTGCGCATGCATGAGAGTACCGCACTAACCTGACTTCTTTTGGATGAAGCAAAGAAGATGGCAGCGAATATGGAGTCAGATTAACCATTTAGTAACCTGATTGCTTTTCAATTTTCTTACTGTTTGGGACCAGGGCTGTTTTTACATTTCTGCAGTGTTTGTGGTTAGCTGTAATTTTCATCTTACTCATTTACTGTACCCACACATTATATACAGTTTCTCTCCCCACTGAATGGTCTTTCTAAATGTACCATTATTTTCATAATATCATATAATTTACTATATAAAAAAATATAAAATATAATGAAAGAATTAAAAAAAAAACACTTTTTCTAACTTTGACCCCCAAAATCTGTTACGCATCTACAACTGCCAAAAAACACCCATGCTAAATAGTTTCAAAATTTTGTCCTGAGTTTAGAAATACCCAATGTTAGCATGTTCTTAGCTTTTTTTTTTTTGGAAATTTACAGGGCTATATGTACAAGTAGCTAGTTCCAAACCATTTTTGTTAAATGAACGCAAGTTACATTGTAACACTGATATCTGTAAGGAATCCGTGAATAACCCTTCACATGTATATATTTTTTTTAGACAAAGCCAACCTAAGGTATTAAATTTGGGATATTTTTACTCTTTTTACCACCAATCTGTGCCAAATAAAAAAAATAAAAATAAAATTTTAAAAAAAAAAAATTTTGACACACATAGCAATTTAAGAATAAATGTACAGAGAACTTTCATGGTTACTGCCAAAGAACACCCCAATATGTGTTCAGCAACATCTCCTGAGTACAGTGATACCACCCATGTATAGGTGTGTTGGGTTCTCTGGGGGCTAAAATACTTTATTTGGAGCAAGCGCAGTCCAGATTTCCAACTTGGAATTTTCACAGCTGGTTATCATCCAGCCAATTTAATTTAACCCCTTCAAACCATATATTTTTGAAAAGTAGACAACCCAGGGTATTCAATATGGGGTATGACTAGTCTTTTTTTAGTAGCCACTTAGTCACAAACACTGGCCAAAGTTAGCATTTGTATTTGTTTGTTAAAAATGCAAAAAACAATTATGAATGCTAACTTTTGGCCACTGTTTGTGACTAAGTGGCTACTAAAAAGACTGATTATACCCCATTTGCAATACCTTGGGTTGTCTTCTTTTGCAAATAGTATGCCATCATGAGGGTAATCTCATTCCCGGACTACCATACTCTCTCAAAGGCAACATAACTGTTAACAACCGTTTTGTCTGATGTACCCTGTACGTCTGCGGTCATTAACGAGTTAAAGGGACACTATAGTCACCAGAACTACCGCTTATTAGATTTGTATTGGTGAGTATAATCATTGCCTTCAGGCTTTTCGCAGTAAACACTGCCTTTTCAGAGAAAAGGCAGTGTTTACATTGCAGTCTAGTGACAATATCACTGGCCACCCCCCAATGGCTACTAGAGGATTCAGTGTCTCCACCCATTGATTCAATGCATCTCTGAGGAGATGCTGATTGGCCAGGGTTGTGTTTGGATTGTGCTGGCCCTTCCCCTGATCTGCCTCCTTGACCACCTCAGCTGTAGAGTCAGGAATACATGTTTGTGTTCCTGACCCTATAGTGTTCCTTTAAGGTAAGTATATTCCTTCCACTCTATCCTTGGCCCTCTGTACCCCTAGTGGGGATGTCACCTTATGGGGACTTTGCAAAATATGCAAAATCCTTTGAAAGTTATCGGTTTGCTGTTAAACAAAATTTACTCTAGTATTCAATATATTTGAGGTTTTTAAGAGAGAGGGGGAACAATAAATATATCACATGGTATACCCAAATCTTCAAAGGAAATCATATTCTACTATGGAGTGATTATTGTATTATAATTTCCTTTGCCTTTTTTTTTTTTTAAATAGAAAAATAGACCTTTTCAAAATGGGTAGATCAAACACCAGATCTCATTCTTCAAGGTCAAAGTCTCGATCTCCATCATCATCTAGGTCGAGATCACATTCACGGAAAAAAAGATACAGGTAAGTAGACTGCTCTTTTTTTGGTGTTTGGTGATCCTGCAATTTCTTTTCAAAGAGCCAAAAATATGACTGTGTAACTGTATTACAGTCGGTGAAGACTAGATTGCTGTAGCCAGCAAAAATACAATCACCACAAGTATGTTAATTTATATATTCGGAACTGAAAATGAAATTTAAATATGTCTTAAACAAGGAATTGTAGTGCAGAAATGTAAGTAACTTTCTTTGAATTACCTTGGAAATAAAGATATTAATGTAATACTCTTATAACCACTTGACAAATTGGCTTATTATCCTTCTTTACTGCTTGGGACAGGACAAATATAAATAAAGAATACTGGCTCTTCCTTTTCCCTAAAACCTAACTGTGCCTTGACTCAAAGCTCTTTAAACGAGTAGTAGATAGTAGGCCACATGAACTGGTGCTGAAAAAAGTTGATAGGTTCATGGAAGGGGCTGTGGAGGTTCACCGTGTAAGCGGTGTGTTCTTCTTAGGTCATTTCTTTCCTATACTCACGAAGCATAACGCTTTTTTAATGAAAATGTGCCCTGCCGTTTTGCCTGGTTTTTTCACCCCCTAAAATGTAAACTGGAAAACTGATCAGGTAGGGTTATATATTCAGGAGGATGAGTCAGATATTTTTGTTTTGCCACTGGTGAACTGGTATATTCACTTGTGTATGATAAAGACCATTCTTTGTATGTACTTATACTTATACTATTAACAAGGTCAAATTATATTAATTAAATTTTAAGTTAAAGCTACTTCAGTGTAGTTTAATTCAGGTTTTCAATCCTTTAAATAAATGTTAGTTTTAAAACCATCTCTTGTGTCTTTGGGCCAGCATATACCATTAAAATGTACAGTGGAATGATCAGTTAAATTCCTATTGAATAGACACACATTTTAAATTTTATTCTAATTTAAGTTCCAGATCACGGTCCAGAACATACTCTCGTTCTCGCAGTAGAGAGCGTGTTTACAACAGGGATTTTCGCAGAGATTATAGAAACAATAGAGGAATGAGACGTCCCTTTGGCTTCAGAGGGAGAGCAAGAGGTTATTATCAAGGAGGAGGTGGAAGATACCATCGTGGTGGTTATAGACCTATGTGGAATCGTAGGTACTCACGAAGTCCAAAGCGTGGTCGTTCTCGTTCCAGGAGTCCAAAGAGAAGATCTGTGTCTTCACAAAGATCTAGAAGTAGATCACATCGATCCTACAAGTCTTCTCAATCACCCAGATCCTCATCTTCTCGATCCTCATCACGTTACAGCAGGTCACCTGTCACAAAATCTCGTAATTCCCAGGAGAAAAAGTCACAGAGAATTGATGGGGATAAATCAGAAATTCCCTTGAATACTAAAACATGTGATGATCAAAAGGATGCATTTGACCCATCTGAACCTTTAGATGAACTTGTCAAAGATTTAGATCTTCATGGGGAAAGCTGGGCAGGTCTGTCTGCATATGATAACAGTCCCAGGTCACCTTGTAGCCCATCGCCTGTGGCTTCACCCCCAAGTGAGGGTTCATCACATTCTGATGGCCCTATTTTGAGTGTTGCCCACTCTACTAAAGACACATTGTCTCAAAATTCACATTCCATTGCACAAACTCCAGAGAGGTCTGGATCTGGTGGCAATGGCTCAACACGCTATAGTCCCTCACAAAATAGCCCTATTCACATGCCTGCCCATAAAAGCCCAACAAAACCTGTTTTGGCACAGAATCCTACACGAGAAGAGGGCCGTTCTCGCTATTCTGTGTATATGGATCCTGTAGAGCAGGAAGTTAACAAGGGTCCCAAGTTCCTTAAAAGGTAAGATCACTAAGTAAGAAAATGTTTCCATATTTTGCTGTAAATGTTTGTTTTTTAAAAAAAAAATATATTTTTTTTTATTTCATGCTATGTCAAACTCTTAATCCATTTAGGGAGTTTTATGCTGTCCTACATAAAGTGGGCTTTAAAGCCTGTAGCGCACCATAGAATGCCCAGCATATTCGGTGTGTGCATCCCTGTTCAAACCAGGAAGGCTCTCCTCTATCTGCCATTTTTAGTGCCTGTTAAATCCCTGCTCACACCACTAACCCCAGGTTTCAGTGGATACCTGGGTCTCCTCTGAGTTTGCTGGGGACAATTTTACTGGCCTTAGACTTTTTGACGAGCTGCTTGAAGTGCTGCAAGTTTCACTTTAGGCATTAAAATGCCTACGTAGTGATTGCAGTGTGAGCAGGGTTAAATCCCTGCTCACACCACTAACCTTAGGTATCAATGGATACCTCGGGCTCCTGTAAGTTAGCTGGGACCATTTTTAGTGGCCCCCTACTGACTAATGAGCTCTGTTCAGCGATTGGTCTCCAAGCCTGTCCCAAGCCAGGTACCCAGCATCGATCCCTGTATATTCGCCTGTGAACCAAGTGTAATTCTGAAAACTGCCTGTAGATGGTGGCAATATCAGAGGCTGACTTCTGCAGTCCCTTGCATTTGCTTGCAAAATGCGGAATTGCAACACAGCTGCTTTAAAGTCACAACACCCAACAGGGTGCAGATTGAGCTGTCAAATGTAGTGCATCACAGAGACAGCATACTAACATCAGGGACCTGTTACAAACCTCCCATGTTCTCACAGGCAACAGGTGAGCAGTAAGAGAAAGGAGAGCAAGAATAATTAAACTGGCAAGTGTGTGTGTTCTCTATTGCCTCTTTTGGTGTGTCTTTTTAGATCAGGGGTAGGTAACCTCCGGCACTCCAGATGCCTTTTCTGCAGGTATTTAATGTTTGAATGGCAAGTGTCCAGACTGTTGCTACATTTCTCTGTTTGTCGGTTATAAATATATTGCCTGGCTTCCAACATTCCAAGTAAACGTATCAATCGCTGTTCCAGTAACTTTTTAAATCTCTTGATGTGATTGACATTTTGTGACATAAAAAAGTTAGTGACACTAAATAAAATAACTGCTACAGCTTATTGATGTTGATATGCTAGGAGTCTGTATGTGATCTCTTCTGGTGTCCATAGTTGCATATTCCTGTTGCTGCTTTGATGTGGTCTGTCAACCTATCTTAAGTGTCCAAGATCAGACTGCTTTGTACTGCTAATTCATATATGAAACTTCTGTATTTGTGTGCCTACAGATGAGTCTGTCTAACTGTAGGTGAGAGGAGAGAATCAATTTGTTTGTGTTGGTGTATTAAAAGCTGTTTAAGAAAAAGAGATAGGTGGGGACTTCTTGCAAACTGTAGTGATTATGGTCAATAGAGTCCCCTTGTAATCACAGCCTATCAATCCTGCATGTGTGTATAGCTGTCTATATCTGTATGTATAAATCTCCTATATCTCTTGTTTGCAGGTATACAGATGAAGAACATAGGTTGTTCCCAATTGAAAAGATCAGTGCAAGAGAAAAAGAAAGTCAGAAGGAAAGAAGTTCGGATAAAGGAAAAAGGGAATGTAGCAGAGTCTGGGGTGATCATGAAGTTTCAGATTATTTTGGGGAAAAAGATAGTGTAAAACCTCAGTTCTTAGCCATTTCTGAAACTGAAGATCTAGAAGAGCCAGAGGATTATAGGCAATTTAGAAAGGCAGTCCTTGCAGATCAGGGCAAAGGAATATCCACTATGTCTCACTGGAACTCTGAGGATGAAGGAACAAAATACAAGACTAAGGTTTTAGTGAAAGGTGCTAAAGAAGGAGAGAAAACTAGGGAAGGAAAGGGACATAAAGGAGCTTCAAAAGATAAGCACAAGGATGATGAGAAAAATACAGAGAGGTCATTGGGGAAGAAAGACAGCCAGTCACATGATCAGGCAAAGTTAGAGAAGATGAAAGACATATTTGATTACAGCATTCCTTTACATCAGAGTGTTGATGGAAGAGAGAAGGTGATGTTCAGGGAAGAGAGCCCACTTAGAATGAAAGTAATAGTGTCTGAATCACATCATCCTGAGGTCAAACTCCGAACGTTCAATGTACCACTTGATGATAGCAGGTAATTTTCATTAAAAAAGTTGATTTATTTTTTTTTTTTTCTTGCATTTCCTTCTTTGTTAACTTACAAATTTTTCTCTTGTTCAAAGGCCACCGTCACTGACTAATGACCGGCTTCTAGCGAGTACGCTTGTCCATTCAGTGAAGAAAGTACAAGACTTCCGTTGCATCTTTGACCACATGAAGATTTCCTTCTCCAGCAAAGCATCCCCAGAAATATTTACCTACCACATTGTATCGTTAGTTCAGCATGTGAAAGGTAAGCACATTTGTACTGCTGCATTTTTCCAAGTTATTGATCCGTTTTCTTTTCAACTTAGGCTTTCTGAATAGTGAACCTATTTTCAGCAAAATGTCTTAATGGAGTGGACCACCTTATTCTATGTCTGCTTTTAGTTCCGATCTTTTAGATGGAATATTACCATGTGCACCCAACGACTAGCTTCGCTTGCTCTATTTTATTAACCGTATAAAATCTTAATCTAATCAGATCACTTTTTGTTTGACCTGTGCTTTTAGCTACAAGTTTAGGTAGCAAAAACAAAGGACATGTTTCATATACTTTGCTATGCCTTCGGTTTAATTCACTATATGCAGTCAGTAAGATTGAACAACTTTAAGATACTTAGACAATCATTTTTCATGTTGGTGTTCATTTAACTCTCAGATCGCTGGTCCAGTCAAAGGTGTGTCAAATAACTGAGCTCTGTCAGTCTAATGCTTGTTATAGAGAAGCATTAACAGGGTTTGGCATCATCATGCTTTGCGTAATGACACTGAATGTGAAGACCTTCAAAAATTGAATGTATTGAGAGATTTTTGTAACTATGTTGTAGCCACTAGAGGAATGTTTAAATGATGCAGATTTATATGGAAAATTGAAATGTTCATGTAATTATGTTTGGTGTATTTTCATCTTCCTGTATACATAGGTAAATGAACAAGCAAGTTAATGACCCAAGTGACCATTTCAGTTTTTTGGTTTTTTTAAATTACCTGTTGAATTTTATTGATCCTATATTCTCAGACAAGCGAATAGAACACATTATCTTTCAGATAGACAATCAAAAACCTTAAATTAAGACTGAAGTGTTTTTTTTGGTTGTTTTTTTTATTTCCATCAGACCACATTTTTCAGTTCCGTTGATAGTTCCATGGTTTCATACAGCTTGATCCAACAGTTGCCAAAATAATTGCAAAATCTGTATAATTTTGTTAGAATAGATAATGTCACCATTGGCTGTGTTAGGCTCATCCCTTCATTGATATATGTGTAGGGCTTAGGTAAAACGAATAGCAGTATGTGGGACTATTTAGGGCTGCATACACAAATCCTCCACAAGCCTACAATCTCTGTAAGGCACCATCTCTCTCTAAGTGAAACATAAAAACTGATGGCATCCTTATGTTTTTTGCAATTTAAATATGTGTAAAAAGACTGGATTGTTTTGAGCATACTGGGATATACTTCTTAAACAAGATAAATCCTAATATATTTCTGGCAAAGCACTTTAAACAAATGAAAATGCTAAATATACAGGATTAATCTATAAACCTTTGTTCTCGATGCATTCTGACTTATCTCCTCAGTGGTAGGTGTAAAATAACATCTAATTTTTTGGGGGGAGACTTTGTACCACCCCATAGTTATACGTCCTTGAAGGAATCTAAGCCAGGGTATAGTTTACAATCTGTGTTTTGGTATAACTTGTCAACGTTAACATAGTTTTACCGTTAATGTGGCACATCTTCCTTATGTCATGAGTTTGTATAATTTATCAAGTACTATTTTTTTTTTTTTTTTGTGAAATGCTTTTTGCCCAAAAAGTGCAGAGTAAAACTGTATACCAAAAAAAATGAGCAATCTTAGGTGGGCCACCCCCGTTTTTTTTTTTTTTTTTGTTGTTACAATATGTGATTCACAGCTTCCGTGAGAAACCACACCATTTAAAAGTCCATACAACGTTGCTCTGTTCAGTACGTTTCAAAAAGGGTGGGAGGGATTTATATTTATCTTGAATGCTTAATAATAAGCTTTATGTGAAAGAAAAAAGGTCAACCCTAAAGGGTTCAGTAATACATTAAATTGAATTGCTTTTCTATAATATAGCACACCTTGGGAAATTGAAAATGTCGTTAATTGTTTGTTCTTGCAAAATTCCCTACGTTTTTAAAGAAAGCAGTTAATAAGTAAACAAACACTGACACAAATTTAATTGTGCATTATTTTAAGTGCTGTTCTATTTGTTGGCGTTTTCCAAGCACATGTACACAGCTCTCTATTGATCATGAGCTGAAATTGCCCAAGTGTTGATTTCTTTTTCATTGTGACTAGGTGCTGGAAAAAATATTTTGAAATGGCAAATCCCTGTAACACAATAAAATATACTGTTGCTGATGCAAAAACATGCAAAACAAGTCTTCCTGGCACAAATGGCCTAAAATGAATTACTAGCTCCAAAAATTCCTGGGTATGATGGAATTAATCTTACAGCCCTATCCTTATAGTGGCTCTTGCAAGTTGTAATGCTTGGTTTTAAAGCATGTACTGGATGCTGGGCGGTAAGTGGACACAAGCTGTATGTTGACCATTTTTTAATTTAACTTTTTTTTTTTTCAAGAGGGTATTGTGTATCTCATACATTATAAATCATCACTTTCTCCATTGTATTACATTGTCAGAGGTTATGCTGTATTAGCCTAATAAATATTTAATGTATAGTTAATAATAAAAGTTTGTTTTTCTTCAAAGGATAATCCAAGCACAATAACTATTACAGCTTATTGGTTATATTGCAAGGAGGCTAGGGGTGCAGTTACTTTATTTTAATTTAATAGTTTGGGGGGGGGAGGGGAAGGGAAGAAAGCCCCCTCAACTTGCAATAGTTTCCATGTTTTTGTATTGTCAAATTGTCTTATGGAAAAGATGAAGAGAAAATAATGGCACCCATAGATTCGTTGAACTACGTACATTAAAATAAGCTGTAGTTTCTGTGTTTGGAGTGTACCTATAAGTTGCTTTCATGTAAATATTTACTTTTGTATCATTTACACTGGGCTCCTGTCTAGCATAAAATAGGGATATAATATAAAATCTATGTGACATAGGACACCTGGTCATGAATCTTTCAGCCCAAGGAGTAGAAATGTTTTTTTTCACAATACAGAATGAGGTTTTATGTAAACAAGTAATAGTTTTTATGGCATTTAGTGTTATTTTTTTTTTAAGTGCGTGCTATACAATTTAACATAGAATATTATATAAATGTTAGATTAACGTAATTTATATACCTGGCAATCGAATGGACTAAGTCTGAGTGCAGGGACTACTTGGGGAAATATACAGGATATGTATTAGCAGCTGCTACCATTAATTCAGTCTCTATTGATGCTGAAATGCCAGAAGAAGAGCTTAAGAAATAGTACAGTTTGCTCTCACCATCTTCCCTTCTGTCATATAACGAAAGGTAAATGGCTACAATAAGGATATCAACTGCTGCCATATCTTGACAGTATCAGGGCAGACTGGGACACATTGACAGTAACGGAACCCTGGCGCAAATGCTAGCTCTCACCATAATTAAAATAAATAAATAAATACATAATGCATAAGAGTGCAAATAGTGAACATTTTGTGAAAAAACAGACGCTTAAATACATATACAAACACAAAGATAAAGCACCGTGCTTACAGCAGCAGCTTAGTATCCAATAGCTTAAAATACATACAATAGCTCTGTCCTAAATCCCCATGTACACCTATTAAGGCTTGCCTTGACGTGGCAGGTGAGCTTATATATTCAAATGGCCATTAGAATAAAACTAAAGAGCCTCCATTTTGTTTAAATGTACATGGGGATTTAGGCCAGAGCGCAGGTAACGCTCGCTTTGCTTAAATACATATAGTGACAAAATAAATCAAGCTGCTACCACTGCTGTACGTTTCTCCTTCCTTAACACAATAAAATAAACTGGTTGAGTGGTCAAACAGCCCACAAAAGTAAGTATGGTGAAGTGCCTGAAAAGGGGGGAAAAGTTCTTACAGAAGGAACATATCGAGTTTCAATAATAGGATTAAATGATACACGTGGTGATAGTTATTGCAAACACTCACATTGAGCAGAGCATCAATAAGTATAGGCTCAAAAGCTCACTTGTGCTTTGGTGACCCTGTCCCTCTTCCAATTGATGATCTGGTACAGAGCTCTGGTAAATTGTGGAGTACAAGACCAATCAGGATGAAGACACTGATATAAATATGAAACCGGATCAGAAAGAATTACACAGACTGAAAAGCAAAGGACTGGAAAAACGCGTGTCAGGGATACCATACCATATTATTGATTTCATTGTTTATTTCAATAAATGTAATTACTTTGAACTATTTAGTCCTGTGGGTCCTATTCAACCTATCTGACCCAGCTAGGAGGGCTTGTGACCCCCTTTATTGGCACAAATACTCTTACCTAGGGCCAGGTCACAAAGGGTTCTGTACCGAATCATCAGTTGGAACAGGGGCAGTGTCAATAAAGTGCACACATGGTAGTGTGATTTGAGGCTCTGCTCAATGTGAGTGTTTCCAATGACTATTACCACGTGTATTTATTAAATGTGTATTGATTTTCCCTTCTATAGGAAGAACTCTCTCCCCTTTTTAAGGGGAAAGTGTTTGTATTTTTGGCACTTTACCATACTCACTTGTGTGGGCTGTTTGACCACTCAGTGACTTTATTTTATACATACGTAATGCTGAAGAGTCTGAGAAGCATAATGTCATCATGATGTTCTGGAGACTTGAATAAATCACTTTACATTGCGTGTTGAAGTTAATGGTCATGTCACCAGAAACCTTTTGATTGCATTGTTTTATGTATCCTGTGTTATTAACTTGTTTAGTAATAGCCGGAAATATAGTTCAGTGGTTACAAAAGCAAGCTTTAGAATGTTAGAGAGTTAAAAGTTTGATTCTTGGCACGGTATAAAGCCTTTCATCTGTCAAAGAAGTTTAAAAATACTTCCATCAAGTTTGGTAACGTCTCAACCCCAATATATAACTGAAGAACGGCTTAATGCACTTTTTAAATTTGCTTTAATTTGCATTTCCTGGTTAATAATTTTATATTATTAGCAGGTATTGTGTTCTAGAACTAATAGTGTGGATTTCTAAGTGGTTTTAATTCCCCTTCACGCAAGACCCTCCTATAGGTTATTGCTATACATGTCTGCACAGTATATAGTAATATTTAGTCATGCCAATGCTACAGCCCCTCCTGAAGGGATTGTCTCCTTGCATGATAACCATATGTATATAGAGTGATTATAGCTCACTCTTAATGATTCTGTAAAGCCTACATCCACAATAGTTTCCTGACAATTTTTTTTTTTTTTTTTCCAGTACAGTTGTGGGGTTTGTACTTTTGTTTGTAACCTTGCACCAGAATGAGATTTCCAGAATAACTTGTTATAAATTCACACTGCGGTCAAAAGTTGAACAACTTTGATGGCTAAAATGATCTCACATCTGGTTGTATGATGGACAGTATGTATTCACAGTTCATCCACTTGGTTCTCAGTCAACACATCCCGGTGCTTTTAAGTGGATTAAACAGAAACAGTTGAAATGGACTTGAGCAATAGCGTCTGTTTGCATAATATGTCATTTTCTGTTGATCTGCTTTTATTGACTTTTACACTGTTTGTGGACAGATAATTCAGCTCTATTTGTGATTTAGTTTACAAACTTCTAGTTGCATTGATTTTAGTTTCATTTTTTCCCTCCTAAAATTACCATGCTGCTTGATGATTGAGCCGTAGTTTAATAGACATCTAAGAGTTTTAGGAGTTTTTCAAATTTTTTTCCCCTTCGTTTGGACACATAATAGCATGTATTAACTCTATAATTTCACATTAAGTGATCATAACAATAATATCCTCAGATTCTGAAAGCATACAGGGGTGAGTTTAAATGTAACTTTTTTTTTGTTTTTTGTTTTTTTTGTTTTTTTCTCTTATTAGGATTGAATATGTTTTACTTGTTCATATCCTGCAAGTCCCACTGTCAGGAATGTGGCTTTGTATGTTAAGGGGAGTTAAACTAATGAGGCAGTGTTTCTCCTCTAAAACCAACAGAGCATTACTTCAAGGGTGACGGAAAGACCCTCAGTGAACGATTTGCAGGCTATAAGAAAGTCACTGAGGCACAAGGCAACCGCCCAAAGAGTCCTGAGATACACAGGTATGTTGTTGCTTCAGTGGCAGGTGCAGACTAAACCAGATTTATTTTTTCAATGTTACTGGTTACTACAGTTCTGGCATTGCTTAAAATGTGGATCTTACAAAATAACAAGGCCCTTACAAAGATGGACACTGTTTATGACTTCTGCTGTCCTTGGAATGTAACCTCTCTTTTCACATCTAATCAGCAATTTCCCATATAACTTCCCTCAAAACTCGGAAACCCACTTACTCATAAAAGCCTTCAATTCACCCTTTATATTTTTGCTCACTCATGATCTCACTGCCTCCTCCCATTAGTACCCTTTGTCTCATCAGTGTACTCAGTGCCTGATCTTTGCATGGATAAGTGAGCTATGTAAACATGTTGAATTATCTGCCATCCTCATGTTTGTTTTCTTCATTTATTTTTTAAAGCTCAACATTATGAAGTGTTTTTGTTTGAAATCATCTAGTGCTCATGTAGTATATGCCCTGGATGTAATATGCATATGTTAATTATAAGGGATAGTATTTCATTACACACTTAAAGGGACACTATAGTCACCCAGACCACTTCAGCTCAATGAAGTGGTCTGGGTGCCAGGTCCCTCTAGGGTTAACCCTGCCTGCTGTAAACATAGCAGTTTCAGAGAAACTATGTTTACATTTGGTGTTAAGCCCATCTCTAGTGGCTGTCTTCCGGACAGCCACTACAGGCGCATCTGCGACACTGGAGGCATTTAATGCCTCCATCACGCAGAGCGTCCGTAGGAAAGCATTGAAAAATGCTTTCCTATGGTCTCTTTGAATGCGCATTCCGCTTGGCTGTCGTCAGACGGGGGAGGAGGAGAGGTAAGGGAGCCCGGGGGTGGAATAAGGTGAGTAACTGAAGGTGTTTTAACCCCTTAAGCACCACGGGAGGGTGACCCTGAGGGTGGGGGCACCCTCAGGGTACTATAGTGTCAGGAAAACCGATTGTTTTCTTGACACTATAGTGATCCTTTAATATCTGTCACTTTCCTAAAAAAAAACAAAACAAAAAAAAACTACTAATCTAAAATTTAATTAGACTGTGAGATAGCTTAGTGCAAAGTCCTGAAATATTAATCTCTATTCCTGGAAAGGTCAATTCAGACTTTCATCCTTCCAAGGTTGATTCAATCCGAATTCGAGATATGCAAAAAAACTAGCAGGAAGGCTAAATGTACAGTTTCCTGTTTAAATATGTTGATTTTTTTATTATTGGTATTTGGTTGCTTCCATCTTAATACAGGAGGATAGACATATCTCCTCATGTGCCAAGGAAACAAGCTCGTTTGCAGGGAGAGGAAAAAAATGTGAAAGAAGAACCTTCAAAGGTAATCGATGGTGTTTAGTCTGTTACAGTAGAACAAAATGTGAAATATCTAGTAATGTGAAAGGTATTGTAGAACACACACTTTGGACTGCAGACTAGTATATATGTGCATTGTCTTTTATTTTTATTTTTTTTCCCCCATTGCATTTATCTCTGTTGCACAATTGCCTAATTGTACACAGACTTGTTTTCTGTCCTCTATTACAATGGTGCTAATGATAGTAAGAAAACCGTGTTAATGAATGATTGTAAATGTGTATTCCTAACGATAGTGTCTTTGTTCTCACCCTTTATCCTACGTGGTGCTACTCTCTCTGCAGCTCGGCCTGCCTCCTTGGCTGAAATTATCAGTCTTGATGATCTCAGCCAAACCAATGCTATCCCATGTATTTACACTGCAAGGTTAAAATGTGGAGGACTGTTGAGATGAAATGGTTTCGATGCCTCTAGTGTCCCTTTAACAAGTTTTAGGAAGGAAAAGCTTTTTTTTTTTTTTTTTAAACAATGCTGAGACTCACTCAGTACAGCCATCGGCTCCTCCTCCCATGACATTTGACAAGCTTCTAATCCAATGCTTCTCACAGCATGCATGCTCCTCCAATCGAATTATTTCTATGAGAGTGATGTGTGTGAGCAGAGTCTGACTCCATTCTTACAGCAGAAGTGTCCCTAGTGGCCGTCACTAGAATTGTGTTTAGCCCTGCAATGCACACATTGTCATATCTACTAAACGGACTGAAATGACAGGTGAGTTGGACCCACACCACTTCATTGAGATGAAGTGGTCTGGGTGCCTATAGCATCTTTGAAATATGGTTGAGACAATGCT